AATATGTAAATTAAGAAATTATTTTTAACAGAAAAAAAAAATTGATCTTGTGTCTAAATATCCAGGTACTGCCAAGTGCAGATGTCAGTGAGGTATCATATTTGACCACATTGGTCTTTGCATTTGGTAGCAGCAGGGTATTTTTACACACAAGATAATAGCTTTACAACAAAGACCTAAAGACCAGCAGGGAGCAACTTTGTTGTCCTTGTAATCTGTCTAATGCATACATAATGAGTCTCTCAGCATGTCAGTATACTATCACTTCAGTGTTTTTAATTAACAATTAACTCTGAAAACTTTTGCAACTGTTCTCTTTTCACTCTACCCCCTAATGCCTTTATCCAACAGAGCTCTCAATTATTGCAGAGACAGGGAAACAAAGTACATCAAAGCATTTATCGCATCCTGCTGCCAAGACGGCACTGCAGGGGTTGAGGTGGGTAGAATTTATGATGTTCTGTGTCATTAGATTTGTAAGTAAAATTTATATACAATGAAAAAACAATAAAAAGTTGGGGTTTTTTTTCATAAACTGAAGTTCATAATAATTATTATCCAAAATTCCACTAAAATAAGACACATTGATATGATAATACATTTCAAATTCACACTTTAAAAACCTGATTATCAACAGTTTATAAATGCAAAAGATGAACCCCCTGCTAATGAATTCATACCATGCATACAGGGTTGAATAAAGTATGAATATATTATAAATAAAGTAAGTGATACACATTATATATGTTATAGATATTCAATTTTTTTAGGTGAGAGGGTTATTGGAGAGAAAAAATCCTGAGATAACAGATTTGGACCCCTGTCTGTGCCCCCCCCCCCCCAAAAAAAAACACCTGAATCCATTACCGAAACACAATTTTAACAAGTTATCAGATTCATTTAAGTTTCGTAACTATACATATGAGTTGACATTTAAAATACACTATATATGTAGACTAGGCTGTGTCAATATATCGATTAATCAATAGGTATCAATATTCAGGAATGTATTGTAACCAAAAAAATAACTTTCAATACGTATCGGGCAGGCATGCAGTTTTTCTTTTAATTGTGTGAAAAAGGTAGGAATTTCAGTCAACAAAGATTATTTTTAACTGTTTTTAATTAAAACTGGTCAATAATGAAACATTAAGGAGATAGCACACCTTAAATAACTATTACAAAATACATAGACAACTATATTTTAACATGTTAGTTTTACAGTCATTAAAAGTTTGAATTCGAAGTGTACTTTGTAAAGACAGTGAGACATGAACTTCCAATCTGATGATAAAACACAAGAGTTTTTATCAAATTTATGTGTTAGTTAAATGTTTGATAGACTTCTTAAAAAATCCAATATATCGCATTTCGCTTTATCGAATATTGTATCGTATTGTATCGAAATATTGCTCAATACACAGCCCTAATGTAGATCTAGACCTAATACCTCCCCTCCCCACTCCCCCAAAATAAGGTCAGAATATTCCATTTGAAAATATGTACACTGTATACATATCTATATGATATATGTGTAAATAATTATACAAAACATTTTTGAATTACTTACGGTTGACGTAGATAAGATGTATTTATATATGGCTGAACTTCTTTCAGGAACTTTGTTATGTTCTTTGTTCTTGAATCTAATCAGTGTTGAGCGCGCAAAATTTTGTGAACCTAAGTGGAATTAGTAAATTAATCGTTGTTGAATTCGCTGATTTCTCGATGACTGTTTTTATTATTTTAATTTATGGACAAAAAACCATCTGACTTTCAAAAGAGAAACATATAAAACTCCATTTTATTTCAAATATTTAACGAAAGTTTGTTTAAAAAAAAAATGGACAAGAACAAGAATAAAATCGAAACGCGAACCAATAAACGAACACCTGTTTGGTACTGCCAAATATGGAAAGAGATGCTGACAGCCAATCATAAGTCGGGGAAGAAAAGGCGCTCCGGCATAAATGCGGCCTATCACAATTTCAAAATTGAGATGCGAAAATGTCGAGCGTGGACATGGACTTTAGTGGCCCTGAACAAGAAAACGAGAGTCAGGAGAGTTTACATTTAGAGTTAGAAGAAACGGAGATCGACTCCCTAGAATGTAGTGATATTGATAGCACGACAATTACCCCACTGAAAAAGAAAAAGAGCCGGGGCGCAGTCAGACGTGTACGTGTCCTAAGGCCACTGTCTCCAAGTGATGTTGGGTCGGAATCTGACTCAATTCTGGTAAGAAATTTCTTTTAATAAAAACTCTAGATACACACTATGCGATGCAAATGTACATTTCTTTTAAACAACTGAAAAATTGGTAGATCTATTTTTGTTCAACCCACACTGTGACGCACCCTTTTCTTTGTTATACTTTACCCCCCCCCCCTTCCTTTTTTTTTTTGGTTATCTTTGCCAACTCGATACGTACAGCTTTGTTGCATTAGCTTTGCTTCAAATTTTTCTTTTAATTTAATGTCCATTTCATTTTGCATGGATCTCAAATTTACTTGCCATTTATGTTTAATTTGTGTTGAGACAACAAAAATTATACAGCCTCTGCTTTAAAATACAGTATTTGTTTTTAAAATATGTCAACGAAAGTCACTGAACACACCCAGATGTTTGCAATTGCAACAGTTTAAATAAACCATGATAAAGAACCTGAAAATTTTATAAATTTTTGATTGACCCTTCACAGGGGTCCATGTAAATCAATATTCATTCTTACCCAGGCCAAAGTAAAGATTGGGATGGTCTTGAGGGCCCTCAAACTCTATGTATATTGTTGGTTTGTATTTTTGGTAGCAGTTAAAATTGAATTGTTGAAAATAAAGTGGAGACAGCATTCAACATCCTAAATATTGCTTTTGAAGAGTAGAAACCATTGCAATTGCCAAAAACTAAAGGGGAGGTTGGGTTTTAAATATAGCTAAAAGGGATCTCAACTTTCTTGTAGTGGTGGGAAGGGGAAACACATTACCGGTACTTACAAAGGGAGGGAGGGCAGACCCATTTAGCCTCCATGCACTTTGCATTTCCTTTTTACAAATATATGGAGGGTTATATTTAGGTTTCTGTATTTGTCCATCTATGAGACAGCTTTTATGCAAGTTTATAGCATATCATACACCTATTTTTTTTCTTTTATTACAAGAATACCAAAGAAAAGCTTGTACAGAGTTCAAGGAATAAAGAATATGAGCCTGAACAGACTCCATCAACTTTTGGCAAGGTAATGAACTAAAGATGAATGTGTTAAAAAAAAAAAATATATATATATATATATATATATATATATATATATATATATATATATATATATATATATATATATATATATATATATATATATATATATATATATATATATTGAGTGAATATTTTGTTTATGGAAAAGTTAAAATCCTCTTTTCAAAAATTGAATATAAAATAGCATATCAATTAAGGACCCTCTCTACATTAGTGCAAAATGTTTTTGGACATTGATAAAATTTATATACAATGAAAAAACAATAAAAAGTTGGGGTTTTTTTTCATAAACTGAAGTTCATAATAATTATTATCCAAAATTCCACTAAAATAAGACACATTGATATGATAATACATTTCAAATTCACACTTTAAAAACCTGATTATCAACAGTTTATAAATGCAAAAGATGAACCCCCTGCTAATGAATTCATACCATGCATACAGGGTTGAATAAAGTATGAATATATTATAAATAAAGTAAGTGATACACATTATATATGTTATAGATATTCAATTTTTTTAGGTGAGAGGGTTATTGGAGAGAAAAAATCCTGAGATAACAGATTTGGACCCCTGTCTGTGCCCCCCCCCCAAAAAAAAACACCTGAATCCATTACCGAAACACAATTTTAACAAGTTATCAGATTCATTTAAGTTTCGTAACTATACATATGAGTTGACATTTAAAATACACTATATATGTAGACTAGGCTGTGTCAATATATCGATTAATCAATAGGTATCAATATTCAGGAATGTATTGTAACCAAAAAAATAACTTTCAATACGTATCGGGCAGGCATGCAGTTTTTCTTTTAATTGTGTGAAAAAGGTAGGAATTTCAGTCAACAAAGATTATTTTTAACTGTTTTTAATTAAAACTGGTCAATAATGAAACATTAAGGAGATAGCACACCTTAAATAACTATTACAAAATACATAGACAACTATATTTTAACATGTTAGTTTTACAGTCATTAAAAGTTTGAATTCGAAGTGTACTTTGTAAAGACAGTGAGACATGAACTTCCAATCTGATGATAAAACACAAGAGTTTTTATCAAATTTATGTGTTAGTTAAATGTTTGATAGACTTCTTAAAAAATCCAATATATCGCATTTCGCTTTATCGAATATTGTATCGTATTGTATCGAAATATTGCTCAATACACAGCCCTAATGTAGATCTAGACCTAATACCTCCCCTCCCCACTCCCCCAAAATAAGGTCAGAATATTCCATTTGAAAATATGTACACTGTATACATATCTATATGATATATGTGTAAATAATTATACAAAACATTTTTGAATTACTTACGGTTGACGTAGATAAGATGTATTTATATATGGCTGAACTTCTTTCAGGAACTTTGTTATGTTCTTTGTTCTTGAATCTAATCAGTGTTGAGCGCGCAAAATTTTGTGAACCTAAGTGGAATTAGTAAATTAATCGTTGTTGAATTCGCTGATTTCTCGATGACTGTTTTTATTATTTTAATTTATGGACAAAAAACCATCTGACTTTCAAAAGAGAAACATATAAAACTCCATTTTATTTCAAATATTTAACGAAAGTTTGTTTAAAAAAAAAAATGGACAAGAACAAGAATAAAATCGAAACGCGAACCAATAAACGAACACCTGTTTGGTACTGCCAAATATGGAAAGAGATGCTGACAGCCAATCATAAGTCGGGGAAGAAAAGGCGCTCCGGCATAAATGCGGCCTATCACAATTTCAAAATTGAGATGCGAAAATGTCGAGCGTGGACATGGACTTTAGTGGCCCTGAACAAGAAAACGAGAGTCAGGAGAGTTTACATTTAGAGTTAGAAGAAACGGAGATCGACTCCCTAGAATGTAGTGATATTGATAGCACGACAATTACCCCACTGAAAAAGAAAAAGAGCCGGGGCGCAGTCAGACGTGTACGTGTCCTAAGGCCACTGTCTCCAAGTGATGTTGGGTCGGAATCTGACTCAATTCTGGTAAGAAATTTCTTTTAATAAAAACTCTAGATACACACTATGCGATGCAAATGTACATTTCTTTTAAACAACTGAAAAATTGGTAGATCTATTTTTGTTCAACCCACACTGTGACGCACCCTTTTCTTTGTTATACTTTACCCCCCCCCCCCCTTCCTTTTTTTTTTTGGTTATCTTTGCCAACTCGATACGTACAGCTTTGTTGCATTAGCTTTGCTTCAAATTTTTCTTTTAATTTAATGTCCATTTCATTTTGCATGGATCTCAAATTTACTTGCCATTTATGTTTAATTTGTGTTGAGACAACAAAAATTATACAGCCTCTGCTTTAAAATACAGTATTTGTTTTTAAAATATGTCAACGAAAGTCACTGAACACACCCAGATGTTTGCAATTGCAACAGTTTAAATAAACCATGATAAAGAACCTGAAAATTTTATAAATTTTTGATTGACCCTTCACAGGGGTCCATGTAAATCAATATTCATTCTTACCCAGGCCAAAGTAAAGATTGGGATGGTCTTGAGGGCCCTCAAACTCTATGTATATTGTTGGTTTGTATTTTTGGTAGCAGTTAAAATTGAATTGTTGAAAATAAAGTGGAGACAGCATTCAACATCCTAAATATTGCTTTTGAAGAGTAGAAACCATTGCAATTGCCAAAAACTAAAGGGGAGGTTGGGTTTTAAATATAGCTAAAAGGGATCTCAACTTTCTTGTAGTGGTGGGAAGGGGAAACACATTACCGGTACTTACAAAGGGAGGGAGGGCAGACCCATTTAGCCTCCATGCACTTTGCATTTCCTTTTTACAAATATATGGAGGGTTATATTTAGGTTTCTGTATTTGTCCATCTATGAGACAGCTTTTATGCAAGTTTATAGCATATCATACACCTATTTTTTTTCTTTTATTACAAGAATACCAAAGAAAAGCTTGTACAGAGTTCAAGGAATAAAGAATATGAGCCTGAACAGACTCCATCAACTTTTGGCAAGGTAATGAACTAAAGATGAATGTGTTAAAAAAAAAATATATATATATATATATATATATATATATATATATATATATATATATATATATATATATATATATATATATATATATATATATATATATATATATATATATATATTGAGTGAATATTTTGTTTATGGAAAAGTTAAAATCCTCTTTTCAAAAATTGAATATAAAATAGCATATCAATTAAGGACCCTCTCTACATTAGTGCAAAATGTTTTTGGACATTGAGAAAATTATAGTAAATAAAGTTGTAAATATTGAGCCTATCTATTTTTTTTTTGGTATACGGTACATGGCATTTACCCCCAGAAAAAATGTTCAAACACAACACAGTATCAGTGAACAGAAGTCACTGTTGTTTACTTCCATGGAGAAAATACATGTAAATAACCTGTTCAATTTATCTTGGCCTTTTAAAATGTTAAAAATACTTGAATTGATTACAAATTGAGTAATATACTGTAATTATCAATTTAGGCCATAATAAATAAATTCCTTAATCCTAGATTCTCATCCCCGCCCACCCCAATTTTTTACCCCTGCCTTGATTTTTATTTCTGTTTTTCTTTGTCTTGATTCTGATCGAGATCGGTATTCAACTACCATTCAACTTTCGTCTTAAATCCAACGAATGTCGGCATGATTTTGACAGCTGACAAGATCATGAAGATGGTAATTGCTGTATGTATTAAACAAGGATCACTGGTTGTGAAAGATTGGTTATGTGTATTGGGAAATATGCATATTTAAATTGACCTCTACTACGACTTTCATTCGGGCATTATAGATAAATCTGCACTGATTGATCAGGTTGACAAAAAATCTGCACAATGGAAAAAATATAATAAAATCCGCCCACCCGCCTCGATTTTTCAAAAAATTTGGACGAGAATGTAGGAATTTTTATATTATGGCCTTATTAGAATTTAGATCTAAGGGCAGATCACTCTAACTGCAGAAAAATACCAAAGATTTAGAACTCTTTAGTGTGCAGTGTAGAGAGGGTTCTTGCAGTGTAGAGAGGGTTCTTAACTTTAGAAATGATTGAAATTTGCAACAGACTGGGGTCAATTTAAAAAAAAAACATGTTTTATGTTTAGAAATCAAGAATGGCTACTCTAAGGAGATCTCCAAGAAAAAGACCAAGTGATACAAGAGCAATCCTGCAAGAGTCAGACAAGGAAACTGATGCTGACACTCCATCCTCCCTGTGGGCAGTATGTACTCATTTCTATTCTGGTGTCATTAATTTTAGCCTTAATTACATTCATCATTGCATTTTCTTTGATAAATGAAGTATTGTAATTCATTTAAAAAAAGCAAGTGTCTGACTGTCATAAGTTGGAAAAGTACATTTCTAAAACCAAAGTCCTAATTAAAAATTAAAAAAAAGAACATTTTATTTTGAAAAGAAAATGTTTATGGAAGATTTGAAGAACTTTGTGGTAAATCTTTAAGTCAGTAAATATTGATGTCCCACTTTAAATCCTGTCTTTTTTTATATAATATGGCTGTATGTGTCTTAGATGTCTAGTGCCAGTGCTTTGAGAAGATCACCAAGAAAGAAAGCAAGCCAGCCAGCCAGAGAAGCATCTCAAAGAAATATGGACAGCATAAATGTAAGTTGAATCTTATATAAAGCTTTTTTTAAAAAATCAAATCAAATATAAAAGGGCTATTCAATTAAAATTAGTTGACTCCAGGGTGGCTAAATATTATCTATTCATGGTAATTGCTTCAGAAAATTCTTATCCTGTCTCTCTGGGTTAACAACTATTATTTTAATTTTTTCCTGTTTAAATCATGGCTTGGAAAAAGTTTAGAGGAAATTTGAACTGCTATTAAAGAGAATGTATGCATAGTGTCAAGTCTGATTTATTTCTTTCACCTAAGTCCCCTCATGTCAGGGCTTGAAATAGTTGATGGCTCGCTGGTCCGAGGCCAGTGAATTTTTAATCTGGGTAGTACATCATAACGAGCACTTCCCCTTTGGATCAGTGTTTTTTTATGCATAACAACTTTCATTCATGGTCGGGCTTGTTAACTTGACAGGGTTGTGTGTCCAAGTTCTGTCATTTCTTGTTTTGTTAAGTTGTATTATTAAGTATCACAATATAAACAAAATATTACTATTATTATTATTTTGGTTTTGGGCCACTCCTTTAAAAATCTACTGGCCCAGTGGGATAGTGAAAGTACTGAGTTGACCAGTAAAAATTTATTAAGGTGATAGCCCAAGTGACCAGTGAAAAAAAATTATTATCATGTTTCAAGATCTTTATTGTTAAAGCCTTGATACAAATTTAAGGTAACAAGCTGGAATAATATATGAGCACCTGCTACTGACAAGCTCTTAACATTTAATAACATCTTATTATTCTGTAAAATTTTATGACAAGTTAATCAATTTAATTTCTTAAGATTATTTTTAAAAACACTAACAAAAATTTCATAATAAAAACTTGCTTCTAATTCTATCCCAGGTCCCTGATTGAGAAAATAAATAATATGCATGGTCTTTTTTTTTTCCCAAGTAAAATAATTCAATGAAATTTTTTGGAGATTTTTTTTTTTTCTGAAACAGCTCTAAGCAGATTTATTAAAAAGATTTAGATAACTAATATATTTATTATCACCTTATTTCATTGAACATTTCTTGGTATAATTGTAAATACAGTGCATTTTCTTTGCACAGAAAACTCCTAGAATACCTACCCAGCCTGAAAACTCCCCAGAAACAGTTAATCCAAATCGTGCTTTCAGTAAAGGTAAGAATGTATCTTGATAAATATATATCTGTATCTAAATTAACCATAACCAAATTACAAAATAATTAATGTGGATAAATATAGGATTTTTTAAAGTTTAATATATATATGTATCTGCTCTCTTTCATGACACCCTATTTGTTTTTGTACATTCTGATTCAAATGTCAGTGTTTTCTTTACAATTATCTATTTTCTGTTTAATCTTTCATGATGGTAAAATAGGCATCCAAGGACAATTAAAAGAAATGCAAGCAACTCAAAAAGAAATCCTCTCAACAATAAAGATGGTAAGAAATGAAGTTCAGGATCTGAAGAGGGAATTTGAAAAAAGAAAGGAGGAAACAAAAGAGATCATCAGCGTGCCAAACAGAATAAGGGTATTGTTTACTTTCAATTTGTAATTTAAGTTCAGAGCATTTAAATTAGCATGAAACGCACTGAAGTTCAAGAACAAGGTGCTTGTAATTTAGTATTCAATATTCCTTTAATTAATAAATGACATCATATAAAATTAAATGATTCTAATTATGCTTGCATTTTTACACAGAATAATGTAAAAGAATTCTATGCTTGTGGAGAGGACAGAGAATTAAAATGGGATTTCAAGAAAAGGTAAAAAAATGACTTTTATTCTGTTGTGATCCAATCAGTGTTTGTAGCGAGTTTTCTGATCACCCGTCTGTCTGACTGTTTGTAAACTTTCACATTTTGGCCTTGGTTTAAGAAACACTGGGCCATATTTAACTAAAATTAATACATTAAAGCATCTAAGGGTTAAGTATTCAAAATTAATCAAATAAAGGTCCTTGTCCCCTAACAAGGGGAGGTAATCAAGATAAGGCAAAATTAGGATAAGGTCATTATAAAACCCACTTCTCAAGAACCACTGAGCTAGAAAAGGTGAAACATGTTTAAACTTCTGGAGGAAGTGTAGATTTTATATTGTTCAAATCATGTCCTCTTGGAATCAAGTTAGGTCAAAAAAGTTAATCAAAATTTAACATTGATTAAAAAGGAATTTTAAAAAAAATCTTCTCAAGAACCACAGGACCAGAAAAGATGATGTACATTTTGAAGCTTCTTGAATTAGTGTAGATTCTAAATAATTCAAATCATGGTCCTGAAGGATAGGGTTGTCACAAAGAGTATCAACATTTTAGGCATATGGTAAAAAAAAACTTTGAGGGTGAATATTTATTCAGAGTCATCTGCTGGTAGTAGGGCGGAGGCACAAAAAGATTTAGGTTTACTAAGTGGGGGGTGGGGTGGGGACTACTAATGAAGTATAGCATGCACGGCCAAAGTGACCAAGGTGGGCCCATGGGTCTCTTGTATGTAAATTGCATTAGTAATTTTAAAAACCTATACATGTATATCTATTTTTGTATTTCATCTTATATTGGTTGGTTTCTTATCAATTAATTTCTATTTCAAGTTTTGGCTAAAAATAAGTGTACTTCTTAGAAGATATTTACATTTTCATCACTGTTTGGTATCTGTGAATTCTTTACAATTACTTTTGAAGGATGTCTTTATTTTTTTTTACTAAGATACAATGATGAAGTAAACAATGAAATGACTGACTTCATAAAGAAAAGTGTCAAAGGAGTTGCACCAGACGTGTCTAATGAAGTTTTTGATGGTAAGTGTTGTTATTAATCTATTTTGGGTACACATGACCTTAAATTTGCATTTAAACATGGCATTCATATAAACATTAAAGTTTTCTTTGTTAATACACGGCATAAACAGTTGCATAATAATAATAAAATACAAGAACCACATAAGTAGGTCAATATGTAAAGTTTTCTACAATGGTTGCAACAGATAATCCCTGTATTAACCTATAAAAATTTTTAATGTTATTTTAATTAATATTTGTAAAATTATTTGTAGGAATTTAATTATGAAAAAGTACTGAAAAATTTGCATTATTGATCAATAAATTATGTTGATGGAAGAACTCACTTGATAAATCTCCACAGATGGTTTAAATTAAATTTTTCATGAAAAATAAAGGAGAAAAAAATTTAGTGGAAGTGTATTTTAAGTATACATATACTAAAGGACTTTTTAATATTTAAGTAATAAAAGAAAATATTTTCTTGCTTTTATCATTATTAAGCGATGAATAATCTTTTTTACAGCTGCTGTGAAGCGATATTTCACTTCTAAAAAGGAAGGGGCCACGAGAAAAGCAAAGAATAAAGATCTACTTCATAGGCAGCGTCGGGCATCTTATGAAAGAAAAAATGAGGTATTAAATTATGAAAGTCCATTTTACTTTAACAAAACCACTTAGAGAGGCTTTAAAAATATTTTTGATAAAAATTTTTCTTTATAAACATAGAATACATATAAAACAAATAACACACATCTTGTTATGGGTTCATATATACTCCAGGTTGGATGGTTTATAGCCTTTTTGTCTATTTTTGTACATTTTTAGCTCACCTGAGCCAAAGGCTCAAGTGAGCTTTTCTGATCACATTTTGTCTGTCGTCCATCTGTCCATCTGTAAACTTTTCACATTTTCGACATCTTCTCAAGAACCACTGGGCCAATTTCAACCAAACTTGCCACAAAGCATCCTTAGGTAAAGGAGATTTACATTTGTTCAGATGAAGGGGCACGCCCTTTTCCAAGGGGAGATAATTAAAAATTCGTGAAAAATTAATCTAATTTTTTAAAAATCTTCTCAAGAACCACAGGGCCAGGAAAGACGAAACACATGTGGAAACATCCTTAGGTAGTGAAGATTCAAGTTTGTTCAACTCATGACCCCCAGGGGTAGGGCGGGGCCACAATGGTGGATCAAAGTTTTACATAGAAATATATAGGAAATCTTCTTCTCAGGAACAGCAAGACTTGATTGGTTATATTTATATGGAAGCATCTTCAGGTAGTGAAGATTCAAGATTCAAGTTTATTCAAATCGTGACCCCCAGGGGTAGAATGGGGCCACAATGGACGATAGAGTTTTACATAGAAATATATAGGAAAAATCTTTTAAATTCTTCACAAGAACAGCATCTCCATGATTGGTCATATTTATGTGGAAGCATCCTCAGGAAGTGTAGATTCAAGTTTATTCAAATCATGACCCCCGGGGTTAGGGTGGGGCAACAATGGATGATTAAAGTTTTACATAGAATTATATAGGAAAAATCTTTAAAAATCTTCTTTTCTAGAATAGTATATCCATGATTGGTCAAATTTACGTGGAAGCATCCTTAGGTAGAGTAGATTCTAATTTGTTCAAATCATGACCCCCGGGGGTAGGGTGGGACCACAAAGGGGGATCAAAGTCTTACATAGGAATATATAGGAAAATATCTTCTTCTCAAGAACTGCAAAGCCATGATTAGTCATTTTGATATGGAAGCATCCTCAGGTGGTGCAGATTCAATTTTGTTAAAATGATATCCCCCGGCGTAGGGTGGGGCCACAATGGGGGATCGAAAGTTTTACATAGGAACATAAAGGGAAAAAAATTATTCTCAAGAATAGAAAAACTATGTTTAGTCATATTGATATGGAAGCATCCTCAGGTAATGTAGATTCAAGTTTGTTTAAATGATGACCCCTTGGATTGGGAGGAGCCACAATGAGGGATCAAATTTTTACAAAGGAATATTTAGGAAATTTAAAAAAAAATCTTCTCAAGTACAACAAAGCTATTTGTTATATTGACATGGAAGCATCATCAGGTAGTTTAAAATTCAAGCCCCCCCCCCCTGTAATCTTTTCAATACTGATTTGTGCTTTTGCCTAGCCAATATGCCCAGGTGAGTGATGTGACCCATGGGCCTCTTGTTCACAAATGCATGGATTTAAAAGTGATAGGCCTGAGAGTTGCAAGCTACATGATAGTACATTATATGTATGACCATATGTTCACCTGATACAAGCTGTATCAAGATACAGTAAACACCAATTCTGCTATTTTACACTTTTTATAATTGCTCATTTTCAAATTTTAATACTGTGTACCAAAGTACTAGTATTATTTATAATGGACATAATGTCAGCAATTTTTTTTTTATTTAATTGTTCAACTTGTCCCACTATTCTGAAATGCTAAAATTTATTGAATCGTATGTAGATTTTTTTCCTCAAGTAAGACTTTAACATTAAACTTTTACATACCCCTATTCATCCAATACATATCCAATGGTAGGCTTTATGTATTGTACATTTGTAAGCCCTTTCAATTGGCTCAATCTCTGAATATCTATATCGTTACCCCTCTAAAATTTAACCACATGTATTTTTGTAATGTATACACCTGTGTCATTTTGATAGTCATGTATTGTCAAAATTACAATACTTCAAAACATCATTAATTACTAGCAGTAACATGATTTTATTTGTTCAGTGTTGAATTTAAAACTAGTTTGTTCTAATCCTCAGAAATTAAGAAGAAGATTGGTTACAACTGACAAGAAGAGGAACTGGGCAGAAGAGAAAAGAGCATCGGTGAAAAAATTTTTAAACCATAAACAGTCGTATAAGTATATGTCGAGTGATGAAGAGGCAGCAGATGGGTTTATTTCACACCCCTATTCCTGGGAAAGCGAGACGTGGAAGCATGTCAAGGACAGTCTTGACAAAAAATATTTGGAGACATGTCCACCGAGAAGTAAGCGATTGGTGCAGAAGAGGACAAAAGGTTCAACAAAAGAACAGGAGACACCAGAACATGAAGAGGAATTCGCTTGGGTTTTTAAATAAACTATTAATATTTTTGTTTGGTTGTTAGATCATTCTTTGATTATCTTGATGCTGTTTACAACTTTTTTCACATGTGTAAATGAACTTTTTTTCATGTATTATTTTACAGTACTTATTTGTAATAAAAAAAGATAACTTGATACACTGTTTATTGTTGTGTTTTGCCTGGTGGATGAATAAAGGACTGCTCATGAAGAAGGCAATAGGAGATGCAATACTAGTTTAATTTGTAGCAAAATGAAATAATTTCTACAGAGGAAAGATTAAATTTAATATGTAAATAAATGACATTTTGTGTAATTAAAGGTGATTGAAATATACAGTATGTTTACAATATGTAAACTTTTAGTTTCATGCAAACAAAATAATATATTTAATACCATTAAATATCAAATTTACTGCCACTAAAATATGTAAACATTTATTTTAATGCAAACAAAATAATATATTTAATGCCATTAAATATCAAATTTACTGCTTTGTAAAGCCAAGAAAAAGTGGGACATTACATTATATTTAAGTGAAGTAAAGTTATAGTAAAGGTCACCTTTTAGAACTTTGACTTTTTTCAGTAAAGTCATTTAAAGGTAATGTAAATTTAAAATTTACATTATCTTTACTGGGTTTGTAAAGCTATTTTTTCACGCAGTGAAGGATATGAAAGCCAGGTCCTACTTTCTAGAGATACCTATAGAAAAACAGTTGAGAACTATTTTTAATCGTCTTGGCCTTACTGATCATTTGAAAAGTTGCTTAAGCATAAACAGAGTGAAAACTCTGAAGATATCTATGATGGGAAAATTTATTAAAGGATGTCAGTAGATGGTGAAACCTTATCTGAATCTCATTCATACAATATCTCATTTACTCTAAATACAGATGGGGTTCCAATCTTCAAAATTTCTAAATTTTCGATATGGCGGATGAAAGGAACATACTATTAATATTATTATGAAATTTTCGAAAATTGTGGTTTCAGTAATGGCATCTTCAGAAAGTATCATTCATTTCTTTTCTTGAGCGACTTTTTGGTTGATATTTTTTTAAGTTGGCAGTTAAGCATAACTAGTGGAAAATGGGTTTATTGGAGCCATAAAAAATGATTTCTGAATATGAATGAGTCAAGTCTCCATTCTACATTAATTTTTAAATGACGGAAAAGTTAATATAAAATCTATTTTATGTTTTACAAAAATGGAGTATAAACCCATTCTATATGAAAATCGAGCATTTCTGGCAAAAAATTCACTCTACAACAAACTCGTTTATTTAAATAATACTGACATACATCTATGACAAGAAGACTTCGTGGCTTGGTGGTTAACGCGTTCAGTCTTACGCCTAACCGTGAGCTTTGGAGAGAGTTCGAATCCGAATCGTGTGAAGCTTTTTTTCACATACCTTACAAACATTCAGAAAATAAGTTTTCAATAAAATAAAGGAAGCAAATGTGAAAAAAATATATTGACATGCAATCTTTGAAAAATGTAACTTTTTTATTCTCCCAGATATAAAAACAAGACTTGATGAGGTCTCGGGTACCGCGGCCACACAAGTAAGATCAGAAGATCTGGACAGTGATGAATCATTTAGCCAATTCTGTCAGATTACAGTGGAGAATGCTGCTGTCTATTCAGAGAATTCTGGTAAAATGTTAAATAAGAGGGATCTCGTCTGCCTTTTGCACAACGCGATTGTGTATACAAATGAAGTGTATAAACCAGGGGATTCACTAAATGAGCCAATAGTACGCAATTTGTATACTTAGTGGTCGATTGATGATTCTTTGTGTTATTTATGGATAACGCACAGTATTCAAGCTCCAAGTCCATTTAAACAATTTGGGAGCAGAGCAAACACAGACCTCAAGAAAATTCAAAAGTGGTATCAGGTGACATGGAGGAATGAGCATCCCCTGCAATATGAATTCCAGATAATTAGAAAGCTTGTCCTCCTTTATTTTTATTATTTTAGAAACTATATGATTTTTGTAATTAAAAAGAAGACTAATAAACAATGAATCCCGAAGATTCTACTCAAGGCTACAGATAGTTCAGAGAGTCTAAAATGGAAAGCACAGGGGCTTGACCTCCAGAGGGCGCCAAATAAAGCTATGGTTTTGTTATGTTTGAGGAGCTTCAAATGAAGCTAAGAAAATATATCGCAGAGTTCATTAACTGTCAATACAAGCCCTAAAGCACCAGATATCTGTAAATTTAGCCTCACAAGTTTAAATGAAGCGGGAGAGTTTTCTTCAGACGAGTCAATTATATTAATTTTTTAATTTTATTCAATACTTCTATTGATCTTTTAATATGGTGTCATGAATAATAACTAATACAATCAGTGTGTAAAGCGATGAACATTCACCCTTATGTAGGAACTTGTTCACAAACTCTAGGAAACCACTACTGTCTAGGCTTTTAATTTTTCTGTATAGAATTGATAGGCCTGTACTTAAAAGATATTTTCACCCTTTATTGGAAATATATCTTTGTAGAAATTCTGGTGGGAAAATAGCTGACAGGAGGGATATGGCTTTGCATAATATTTCAGAATTACGACCAGGTAACATTTATTTGCAGATTGGAGGAAAACGATGTATCGGTTGATAAAAATCCATGTTTAATTTTGTTCGATTCAATAGAAACTATACCTTTTTTTAAATAGTATTGGTCCATTTACTATGTTTGTTGGAGTTTTGTTTCCTAGAAGTAATCGAAGAAACATGGTCCAGTTGCAATATTGTCACATAAAACCTTTAATGAATAAATGATTATATATATATATATATATATATATATATATATATATATATATATATATATATATATATATATATATATATATATATGTATGTATGTAGGATCTCCCATGATTTGTAGTTGGATATGATTTTTGTCCAACGAGTTTTGTGGGGGTTTTTTATTCCCGAGCCTTGGCGAGGGGATAAAAACACACAACGAGTTGGAAAAAAGTCATATCCAACTACAAATCATGGGAAAATCTTTTTATCCCATGTTTAATACTTCACAATCGAGGTTTTACACTGTTTTATATAGGACTCCACCTTATTTTACTTATCACGCAAACGCAAAAACCATTGTGACGTCACAACTGCACTTTACTGTGGGATATGAAAAAAAATATCCAATGAGTCATATCCACAGGATAAAGGGGTAAACATGGGATAAATATATATATATATAGGGAGAGAGAGATGTAGATTTAATGCCCCCACAAATAAAGTTGATGGGGCATACTGTAATTGATCATGCCTGTCTATCATTCTGTGCATCTGTTTGAAGACAATTTTGTAAGCTCAGGAAATGATCTCCAAAACTACTATATATATTTTTTTTTAATTTTGTAAATACGTTATAACATATTTGAACATGTACCCCTTGAATTTTTAAACAAAACTATCATAAAATAATGTACCAATTAAAAGAAAATCATTGTAACTATTCAACTATTCTTCCTTCAACAGACAGTTTTTTTTCCGATGCATTGACACTTTCCAACAAGACGCATTGCTCCTATTTACCAAAGAAATATAAAAGGTCTCCGATATTCACATAAAATTAGGACAGCGCCAAATCTTAAAAGATGGTCCAGACAGATCTTTTGTGAAGGGCGGACTCTATCGCTATCAACAAAGTGACACTATAATTAATTTTTATGTCCAACTACATGATCCCTATCATGCATCTTTCGTACAACAGATGTGTTCACTGAGTATCAATAGCTTTAATTTATCTTGGCTCCGAGACCCACAAATATTTAACTGTTCCTGCACCAATTTTTTTGCCTTAGGTGTGATTTTATAATGAAACTATAAACTAACAAACACATTCTTACTATCTTAAAAGCGCAATCAAAACACTTTTAGGGTGTTTGCATGACTTCGTCTTGACTGGATTACGCTACTAATGAGCGTTTAGTTTACAGTCAATGATTTTCAGGGTGTACTTAATTTAAGTCTGATTTTAAAATGACGAACCATGTTGTTATATTTGATAAATAAATGTAATAAGTTTTTTATCAAGGTTTGAAACGTATATGGAAACGTATATAAACTAGAGCGAGCTCGTTGCAAAGCAACGAATAGGTCTTCCGTTGGAGCTGCGGAAGGAAGAAGTGACCTTGTGTCAAGGTCATGCCACATTCTAAAGTTATACATGTAAGCAATCTTGTAAGGGGAAGCAACTTACAATATTTCGCTAGGAAAAACTGTAAAGGAATGTACGTGACCTTGAACATTCCAAATGCCTTGCATCAAACCATGACACACTCTCGTCATAAAACCCAATCTGTATGTTACCAACTTGAAAAGTTCACAGTGACACGTCATGTTCTTTTAGTCCATACATACAGTCAAAACATCTTATCCTTAGTGACCTTGAACTTGAGTCAAGGCCATGTCACACTCTGCATGATACCAGCAATGTTTCACTAGTACAAATACGGTAGCGAAATTACAGTTTCTCTGTCAGTGACCTTGACTCGACCAAATGACCTTGCATCAAGGCCATAACACACACTGGTTAAAAGCAATACCAGTCTGTGAGTTTCTGAACGGATAAGTTCAGCCATGTTTTTTTCAGATCATACAGCGAGTCGGAATAATTTGTTAGGTTCAGCATAATGATTAAAAAATTCATTGAGAATGTTTTATGCCCAGTTTGGATAAGTAGTAAAACGTGGAGATCGATCCTTTGGATGAGACCGGTGCTTGTGGACAGGACCCCCCCCCCCCCCAATATACACCCCGGGGTCCAAGAATATTTTTATTCGTCTTTTTCCATAAATTAATCTTCTAGTACACATTTACAATGTATTCCATATGAAAAATCCATAAAAATAACGTAGAATTAACGTTTTATTAAAAAATCATACCCGCGGTATTATGAAATAGAGAAGGTAAGTCACTTCCATTTGTTAACACTGGACCCTTCTTGGATATCGGGCCTAAAATATCATATACA